ATCTCGGAATTGTGGGGTGTGAGTTTGAGCCCCAAGTTGGTTGTAGAGATTACTTAAAAACAAAATCTTTAAAATTTAATAATAGTTGCGGGGCGCCTGGGTGGCTCAGCCATTAAGCGTCTGCCTTCGGCTCAGGTCATGGTCCCAGGGTCCTGGGATCGAGCCCCGCATCGGGCTCCCTGCTCAGCGGGAAGCCTGCTTCTCCCTCTCCCACTCCCCCTGCTTGTGTTCCCTCTCTCACTGTGTCCCTCTGTCAAATAAATAAATAAATAATCTTAAAAAAAAATAAAATAAAATTTAATAATATTTGCTAAATTCACCCTCTCACTTGTAAACGATCCTGACTAGTCCTCCCACACCACTGCCTCCGCGTCCCCCCACCGGTCCCCACACTGGCCCTCTGCACCACTGTGGGAAGGAGCTTGTGCTGACAGTTTTCTGAAATGCAGATCTGACCAAGTCCCTCTTCTACTTAAAACCCATTTGAAGACCAAACATCTGCAGTATAAAGCCCAAACCGTGGCAGTAAGGCCCTTCACGGTGAGGCTTCTGCCTCCCTCCTCTGCTTTCTCTACTGTTCCCTTGACCTGCAGCACAATCTGAGGTCTCCTGAGCACACCACATGCTCTTCCTGCCCGCAGGAATGTCTTCCCTGTCCATGTTGGCCCAGGAACACCTACTGTTTTCAAACCCAGAAGCCTCCCCTGGCATCGCCTAGCTTGGATTTGGGTGTGCCTCAAGTCTGATCCCGCAGTGCACTCATCTCCTTCCTATGTGACATTTACTGCAGACCGCTGACTCAAGGGTCAGCTGTTGCTTCACTTGGCTCTTGTCTAAGCTGTGAGCTGCCTGGCCTTCTCTCTGTTTCCAGGGCCTAACAGAGGGTTCCCACAGAGTAGGTGCTTAATGCACGTTTGCTGCATTTCGGACGGAAAGAGAGCAGGCGCAGAGATCCGAATGATCTGTCAGGACGCGGAGTGGGCTGCCTGGCTGGTCTAGGGCCCAAGAGATGCACCGCAGGACACACAGACGAAGCCTGAACAGGAGGTTGTGTTGGCTCTTTGAAGGCCCCGGGAGCCAAGCCAGGGAGTTTGGACGCTGCCATGTCAGACGAGCAGAGCTGCCCCCCAGTGGGGAGGACGGACGGGGGCAGGGGAGGCCTACAGCAGCTTGGGGAGACTGCCCACGGCCGGCCGCACAACCGCGCAGGGATAGAACCAGAGGGCCAACCAGTTCCGGACTACATCACATGCAGAGATCTCGGCGCCCCCCACAGGGGCACTGCAGTAAACGGGGCTTCGAGGTTGTGCGCTGTGGGTGGGCCCTCCATCGGTCTGGAGAGGCGAGGCTATATTGCTGACACCATCTCTGTGGAGATCTCTGTGAATCTCTGGGGCTTATTTTCTGTTCCCACGAAGTCCACGGTGGTAACACCTGGAGGCGGCTTAGTGACCCGGGCCATCTGATGGCTTCGGCCGCTCACACAGCAGGGACAGCACTCGGACAGCCACGCACCAGTTTGCTCTTGGGAGGGACGCGCCTGACTTGCCATGACAGTGCCTTGGCCAGAAGCGGTCCGCTGACCCGGCATGCCGACACGGTGACTGGGAAGCAGTGTGCACGTCCAGGAAAGGCAAGAGGACAGAAGTACCTGTGGGCAACAGTAACACCCACCCAGCACAGGGAGCGGGGACAGAGATGCCAGGGACAAGGGAGGGGGGTTCTGCTGGGGATTTGGTGTCGCGTCAGGGCGCCTCACGGGCACGGGTGCGTCCTGCCAGTGGGGGGCGCCCTGGCCGTGTCTGGGGAAGCGTGGACCTCTGTGGAAGGCTGTGGATGGGAGGCCTCTGCTCTGTCTCCTAGGCCTCTCCTCAGAGCTGCTTCGGTGCCACAGCGTGGCCCCTGGCGTCCCCCAAAATGATGAGAGGGACCCCACCGCAGAAACGCCCTGCCGGCCGGGCTTCCGTGGACACACGTGCCCACCACGCGTCGGTGTGAGGGAGAACCCCGCCAGGGCCAGGCCGGGGTACTCGGAGGCCATCTCCAAGGGGCGAGCGCAGGGCAGCCGGGGTGGAGGCGCATCTGGAGGACGGGGAAGCCCTTCTGCGCCTCCTTTCTCTCTGGTGCAGCTGAGGGAGCAGTGAGGTGCGGTCCGCGGTAGCCCCAGGAGGGAGGCCGGTACAGATCACTGCACTGTACAGATAGGAAGCCGGGGCGCCAGCACCGGGACTGGCCAACCCCGCCACGGGGCGACTTCCCGCACTTGGAGACGCCCCTGCATCCCTCTGTGCTTCAGCAGCACCGGCCTGTGCACACCCTGCTGGGGCCGAGCCACACCCCGTGTTTGCCCCCCCGGCAGGGCGGCACCAGGTTGGGGGGCCCTCGGGGGGTGCCCTCGGAGAGCAGGGAGAGGCTCCCTGGCACCGTTAAAGCACCTTGAAGGGGGAAGAGGGCAGCCCGCATCGGCGGAATCCACGGCGAGTTCTTGCTGGTGGCTGGAGCCCTGCCCCCCATGACCCTGCTCCTGACCCGCCCTAGGGCACTGCTTCTCTGCCTCTCGTGCTCCAGGACCCCCCGTGTGGCTTCCCCCAGGACAACCCCGGCCCGTGTGGGGCGGCCTCTGCTTCTGACAGGACCTGGAAGAACTGCTCACCTGAGACCTGGGAGCACCCCTCACCGCCCCACCACCGTGCTGAGCGGACCCTCAGGCCACCCGGTCCTCTCCTCCGCCGCCGGCCGCGCCAAAGAAACCAGAACCCAAGCCCAAGTATCAGAAACGTGTATTCTTTTTAATAGTAAACCTCTTTACAACAAATATAGTGAAAGAGTTTTCAAACAAAACTCATAAGAATCCCGAGGACTTTGTCTTCTTATTGTGTAGAATACTAAGAAAGCATCACCATACAGCACGGAAAGAAATATTGAAAACAAATCAACAGCCACACACTTGGACTCGCCCTGCCCAGGACCCAGGAGCAGCCCCAGGAGTGTGGGTGATTGTCAGGGTTTGGAGGGGGCAGCTCCATGCCTCCCTCCCTCTCCCCCTTCCCTCTGGGACTTGAATGGGGAAGACAAAGAGAATCCAGATTCTCCATAGAACATTCGAGCCCCCTGCCCCCACACAAATCCCACGGCTTCCACCATCGCTTAGGGGGTGGACAGAGGTGGCAGAGAGGACGAGAGTTCCCAGGCTCCGGGTCTCCTCTCCTCTACGAAAGCCTGAATTCACCCCCACCCCACCCCAGGGGATTCCAAAGAGTCAGTTAAAAATATATAGATATAGATATTTCTAGATACACTTTTACATCATTTCTGTCTCTCCAAACAAATAAATAATCATCAAGAGAAGGTGCATTAATTCCTTCCTGTCCAAGGTGGGGAGGGCTGGGTAAAGGTCAGGGGTCAGTCTTGCTGCATTGAGGGCACTGCTGGGGAGGGGAGGAATGGTGCGTCCCAGTGGAATGGGAGGGTCCTCTTGCCCACTGTCCCTGGAAGCTGTGGGAAGGCTGGGGAAGGGAGGGGCATGGGATGACTCCAGTGATTACTTTGGCAAACGCCCAGTTCTTAGGAGGAAGGAGTAGGTGGAGGCAAATTTGGCTTTGCGAGAGGAAGAAATGAAGCCCCCCCCCCTTGAGGTCTGGGTTCCCAGGGACCCATGCGTCTGGCCAGCCAGGAGCCCCTACCCCCAAGAGAAACCTTGGGATACTGAATTGCAGAAATGTCACATATTCATTCACAGACCCACCCCCTGCCCCCAGGGAGAGGAAAGACACACACACACACACACACACACACACACGGTAATCAAAAGCCAGGTTTGCCATTACAAGGCAGAGGGCAAAACTGGTGAATATTGCACCGTGAACCGCAGGGGCTCCCGTCCCCACCGTGTGTCTATGGCGGCCAAGCCCAGCTTCCAAAGGTGGGCGGACTGCTGCCAGGAACAGCCTGAGAAGGGAAAGCCAGTCACTTGAGCTTTATTGAGCACCTATTGCTCACCCATTCGGCATTTACTGTGCACCAACTATGTGCCAGACACTGGGCAAGGCTCTGGGGACGCGTGCATGCACAAGCCTATACCCCGGTGTACTCTGAGGCCCTGATCAAGTCTTGTCGACTCTTCAAACTCCCTCTAGGAACCCACGGAGTAGGTTGGGACATGCCGTGTGCCCAATCAGCAGGTGGGGCTTGAACTCTGAGTAAGGAAGGATCACGGCCCAAAGAAGAAGCTTCAAGAAGGAAGAGGATCATGAGTGTCACCCTGAAAGCAGGACTGGGGTGGGGGACGAGCAGGAAGGGCAGCTGCGTGTGTGTGCAAAGGACCGGGGACCGGGTGGCCACTTGTGCGTGGAGCCCAGGAGAAGCAGGGCCCCAGGGAGAGGCGAAGGGGGCAACTGCCAGATCCCCCCAACTGTGGTCCAAACCTGTCAAAGCGGAGGGTGGACTGGGGCAGGGGCCAAGCGGGAGGGGCGTGGAGCTGAGAGCCAGGGCTGTGCGGCCCAGCGGCCACTGTCCCTCCACAAACACCAGGCACGTGCACACACGGACATGCCCTCGGAGCTCGATTCACACAGATCCGTGGATAGGCCCAGATGGGCTCAGAGACACACACCAGTACGTCCACGCCACCAAACACACACAGATACCGGATGCCCTCACGGACACGCTCAGGTACACGTGTGGTCACATACGCCCCTGCTTCTGGTTCCCTCCCTGCGTCAAGTGTCGGAATACTGCAAGCGGCTGGGTCGCAGAGGCAGGATCGCAAAGCTGGGCCTTGTCTACTGTCTACTGTCCTACTGGGGTGACACCCCCAGGGAGCGGTGCGCCCCTGGGGCAGAGGAGCTGGGTGCAGGTGAAGGACTGGGGCAGACCCCCTGTCCGCCTACACACGCCACCTGCCCACTCGGGCCGTGCCCTCTGAATGGCAGGCTGGGGGCCTGCCCCCTCCCGTCTGATCTGGGGTCCAGCCTGAGGTCCCAGCAGAGAGGGGCGGGGCGGGGCGGGGCGGGGAGCAAGAACAACAGCAGAAGAGTCTCATCTGTACAGTACGGGCCGCTTGAGTCATTATTATTACAATATACTTTGACAAAAATAGAATCTCATTTCATATCAATACAACGACAACAAAAAAAACAGTTTCCTGGACTGTTACACTGCTAACGTTTTCCAAAGGTTGCTATTTACAGTTACAGTAGCCAAGAGGGAAGGTGGGCTGCCAGGGGTGGTGGGACAGGAGGTAGGCGACCGGGGAGGTGGGGTCAGGGCGGGAGGAGCTGGGAGGGGGCTGGGGACGGCCCAGGAGGAAAGGAGGCAGGCGGGCCTCCCACCCTCACGCCACCCCAGGGTCCCTCCTTTGGGGATGTGTCCGTGCAAGGAAGAGAGAGCCCCCACTCACACTTGCCCCTGGATGCCGGGGCTCTGGTCCTGCTGAGCCACCTCACTGGAGCTGCCCCCCTCCCCGTCCTCCCTGCACTTTGTGGCCTGCTTTCGGGGGCTGGTGTCAGCCCAGGGACGGGGAGCTATTGCACTGTTTATCTTAGAGAAACTGCCAGGGACAGAAGGGGGCCCCGAGTCACCCCTCACCCCAGCTCTCGGCCCCTCCTCATGGCTCTCCGTCTTTCCAAATGTGCTTCCGAGGGGCCCCCACCTCAAACCCTGCCCCCAGCCTCCGAATCCCAGGCAGCCTTCCCAGCCCAGAGGCTCAGCCAGCACCCCCACACCTTGGGGGTGCAGCTCACACATGAATCCGTGAGAGTGTCGTGTGTGTGCAGGGGCACTGGGGGGCCAGGCTTGGGCATTTCACCCCATGTGCCTGTGGCCACGGGAATAGCCCAGACACAGAAACTCTTTTCAGAACCTGGGCTCTCTTGCCCCCTGAAACACAAACCCACCCATCAGGCCGACTTTGGGGTTTCAGTATATTATAAGGGATTTTGTGGTTTGGTAGGTTTTTTGGTTATCTCCCTCTATCTGGGGGATGGGGTGGGAGGGCTCCGCATGCAGGGCTCGGCACCTGTCCTGTCCCAAAGGCCTATCGGGCTCCCCACCCCCTCCTGCAGCATATGTGTACAACGTGCAAAGTGTCCCCCCTTCCCGCAAAAAACAGCCCCCGCCAGCCAGTAAAATGGCGGGGGGGGTGCAGAAAGAGGGGACAGGAGCATCCTCCTCTCCAAAGCGAGAATCCAAATTAAAAAAAATATAATAATAATAATAATAATATAATAATTATACACAAATGTAACCGTCAACAGGACACGGAGCACAAAAGGAAGTGGGGGTCGAGCGGGAGGAGCCCAGGGCCGGGAGGGGTGGGCGGTGAGATTGTCAACTCTTCGTCAGGGAGGCTGAGAGGAGGGGGCTGGGAAGCGTCACTTTAATGTCTGCAGAGAGAGGAGATGGAGAGCGGGGTGTCAGGGCCCTGGCCCCGGGCTGGGCGTCCCCCACGCCCCTCTCCCCGCAGGGCCAGGGCCTGCGGCGGGGGGTTGCAGAGGTGGCCCAGAGGCCTCCCGGTGGGGGCTCAGGGTGGGGGCGGTCCCGGGGTGCAGCACACACTGGCGGGCGGGAGGGGTGACGCTACAGTACCCAGGTGTCGAGCCGCATCCTCTTCACAGCGGGGCCCTCAGCCTCGGGCTCCTGGGCTGGGCGCAGCAGGCCCAGCGTGGGCCCGAAGTCCCCCCGTGCGTCGTCCCGGTCCCCGGTCTCGTAGGAGCTGCTGGCCGGGCTGCTGAGGCCATCGCCAGGCTCCGGGCGGGCGGCCGCCGGGAACACAGCTGGAGGGGGCGGCGCGGGGCTGCGCTCGCGGCTAGGGGACACCGGCTCCGACTTGATGCTGATGTGGGGGTGGGTGGTGACTGTGAGGGCGGCCCCCACGTGGGGCAGAGGGCTGCCCGGGCTGGGCACCGGGACAGAAGCAGAGCAGGTACGGCACACAGAAGGGATGAGGGGCCCGGGAGGGAGAGGGAGGAGGTGGGGCGGGGAGGGACAGGGACAGAGAGGAGCCGGGAGAAGAGGGACCAAGTGAAGGAAGAGAGGAAGGGGAAGGAGCCACGTTAGTTTTCTGTCCCCGTGCCCCCCACGGCATCCTGGTGCTCCGGGCTGGCTGGGGAGGGGCTCTGGGGGGGAGAATCTCCCAGGCCACTGGAGTGCCCCATGTCCCGTGCTGTCCACTGGTAACAGAGCACCTCAAGGGGGCCACCCCGCCCCCTCCCAGCAGGAGCCTCCTCTTCCCACCCTCAGCTCTGCCGTCCCCGAGGCTCCGGCGCCCCGCGCCCCCCGCGGCGCCCCGGGACTCACATCAGGCTGCTGAGAGACACGGGGACCAGATGGGGCTGCGGCTGGGGCGGCTGCTGGGGCGGCTGGGGCGGCTGGGGCGGCGGCTGGGGCGGCTGGGGCGGCTGGGGCGGCTGGGGCTGGGGCGGCTGCGCAGGCTGAGGCCAGGCGGTGACACTGCCCAGCGACAGCCCCCCGGGCGAGCTGAAGGTTGGGAGGGAGGAGAGCTCGGCACTGCTCAGCTGGTAATCTGCAGGGGTGGGGGGGTGAGAGGACAGAAGGACTCAGCAGGGCCCCCCAGCGCAGGGCCCCCCGCTCAGGGAATGCACGTCGACACAGGCGGCAAGTGCCGCTTCTTAGCAGAATGAAGAGAGGTGTGTTTTTAAAATAGTGTTAACTTTTTTTTTTTTGGTACCACGTGTAGGTATCACTTTCAGAATGTCAACTCAAAAAAGAAGGGGAAAGAAGTCAGGAGGGTCTAATACACGTCTGTCATCTCTTCAACTGCCAGGTCCTCACGTGCCTTTCTGAGACAGGGGCGTCGTGGGGACGCGAGAGGGATGGCGCACGGAAGCTAACTGCCATCACCACCCTGCGCCCCGCGGCTGCGGCCCCGCGGCTCGTCTCGAGACTGTCAGCGCGGCAAGGGTTCAAGCCGCCGTGCCCGCACACCAACCCAGCGGACGGACGTGCGCGTGCCCCTGCTGGGCCTGCAGAGCCTCGTGGGGCCCAGCGCACCGGGCCGGGATGCCACCACATTCCCCACGAGGCGGTGCTCCTTGCTTTTGACCATTCCTGTCTTAATGAAGAAGCTGATGTCTGCACAACCGACAGCACACTGGGGCGTTCCAGGCTGCAGCCAGTCTGGGGCAGCTTAGTAAAGGTCCCCCGAGGAGCCCAGGGCGATGGTGCTGTGGGGGCGCACGGGCACACCCCGCGTGGCCCCACCACCGAGTTCACTCAAGGGATCACGGGCTGCAGCTCCCGTCTCTGCGGGGACGACGGCACCACCGCGCAACCGAGCAGGAAGGTGCAGGGCAAGGGCGAGGCCTCCCGAGGCCCCGCGACCTGGGGCAAGGGACTTGCTCTCGACTTAGCAGTGGGCAGAGGCAGAGGAGTCCCGCCTGTACCACACAGCCACGAGGACCACGGAGCAGTGAACGCACACGGGGCACGCACAACCGCGTCTGGCACACGGGACGTTTTCCGAAGGCTGGCCTGGTGCTCTTACTAATTCACAAACGAGGCAACTGCAGCCTCCAGCGTGGGGAGCCCCGGGTCCCAGAGCCAGTGGAGGAGCTAAGGCAAGACCCTGGGCTCCTCGCTTACCCGTAAGTCTGGCCTAGAGATGGTCCCTGCTTGCCTCTGGTCTCACAACATTAGCCAGCAGCTTTGAGCCATTCTTAAAAAAAGCAGAGCGAGGGCAGGAAGGAGCCCCTCGGACTCATTTTACAGACAAGGATGCCCACCCTCGAACAGGGTTCAGCCTCGCCCGCCACCCCTCCACACCCGAGGGGCAGGGGCTCCCGCACGTTGCCACCACACTCCAGCCCCGTCTATGCGGAGGCCCGGGGCCTCCTGGACAGGAGGAACATGGCCCACAGGCCGCCTGGCAGCCCATCCACAGCCACCAGACCTCTGCAGCCAGTGTCAGCAAGGGGCCAGGCCTGTCCCTCACCCAGGACATCACCAGAGCCAGATCGCCCGCAGCCGGAACTTGGACTGGGGCCAAGGACTCCGAGCGGAGAAGAGTGAAACAGCAGTGTGTTTTTGTTTATGTACACAGGGGCACCTGAACACACCCGCTGTCGAAACTGAGGCCTGCTGACCGACTGCGGCAGCAGGAGGAAGCGGAGCCCCGGCTCCTGGGAGGATGTGAGGAAGCCCACACTTCCCAGCAGGGCCCCAAGGGCAGGCCCAGGGTCAGAACCTGCTTTCACACCAGACTGACAAACAGTCTAAAGTCTGGCCTTGCCGGGCGCCTGTCCCAGCTTCACGGACGCCCGCCAACCTCCCCTCCTGCTTCAAGAGACTTGCAAGGGCCAGAGAGGATGGCAAGAAACCACCACCACATTTTGGGATTCCCAAACACGGTGGCTCCTGAACAGTGGTCTGTGCTGCCCTCTGCCAAACTCCCCGCCCGCCCACGACTCTCCCAGAGGAGGACACTGGCCCCCAGGGGCACGGCCATCTGAGGTGGCCCGAGGATCCCATGCATGAACGGGACGAGGGACTGACCACACCACACCTGGGTGGGAAGACCTGGACGCCGACATGCATGGCGGGGTCTGGCCCCTCTCCACAGCGGGGCGGCTCCAGCTCTTTCCTGCCCCCCAGGCTTCCCTGTGTCCGAGCCTGGGCTCTAGATTTTTACCCAGGGAAGAGGTAGGAGCGTGAGAGGATCTGTACGGTGTCTGGCATGGGGGCTTGGGGAGGAGGGAGAAGTTTAGGGGCCTTTTGATCTAGTCTGATCTCATCACAAACAGCCCCAGCACAAGCCAGTCAGGGGTGAGGGACCGTGAGGGGTGGCTGAGGTCTCGGCAGTGAGACTTCCCCACGGGGACGTCCTTCCTGACACAACAGTGTGGAGTGCAGGCCAAGATGGCCCACAGCGTCACCGACTGGTCCTGGGAGAGGACAGTGGGTACCCAGGACGGCCTGGGTACTGGGTGTCCGGTCTGAATTCTTCGACCCAGACACCTCTCCCGTGTGTCTGCGCAGCTCTCCGCCTTCACCGGTCCCCCCACTCCTCTCCCCTCCCCATCACCCCACCATGGAGCCACCACCAGGGTGAGGGGCCCTGTCCTCCCTCCTCCCCCCGCCCCTCTCGGCTTTCCCGGGAGGCTGGGTAAACCTTCCTGACAGGCCTTCTCTCTGGGGCCCCCTCTACCTGTGTCTCCTCTTCCTCCTCCTCCTCCTCCCCCCCCCAGGAAGCCTTGCAGCACCGACCACGCCCCTCCCCTCTCCCCAGCCCTGGGCTGCCTGAATCATCTGCTCAGCCCACCTCTGGCCTGGCTCCTCCTCAGTCCCTAAGGGCGGGGGCTCCTTTCTCCATTAGGTCCTTTATTAAAAATGGGGAATACCTACTTATTAATTTGAATTTCAGACAAAACAATGAATAATTTTTTAACATTTCAGCAAATGTCTTTGACGCATATTTACCCTAAAAAATTATTCATTGTTTTATTTGAAATTCAAATTTCAGTGGGCATCCTGTTTCTATTTGCTGGCGACCTTCATCAGGTGGGGGTTCCCCCCAATCCACTGGAGCATCACCCAGGACTATCTCCTGCTCCCCATCTGGTCCCGCCCCCGCCCCAAGGCCAAGCAGCTACAGGGGGGCTGAGGGGCTTGAGGACTCACCTGTGTTGTAGGCAGTGGGCATGGAGGAGAAGGGGAGGCCCTGGCTGAGTAAACTCGGTGTTGCCACGGAAACCACTGGCGTGGTGAGTGAGTGGGTAGACTGGGAGGCCCCAAGGCGCTGGGCATTGTTCTGCAGGAGGAAAGGGTCTGTCACCAGACGGGCAGGAGGGTGGGCTGCGTTCCCCTGGCCCTCACTGCAAGGCCCAGCTGGGGCCCCCGCTCCCCACGGCCCAGGGGGGACGGCTGGGCACAGAGGCGCCCGCAGACACACACGCGCGCTGGTGCATTCCCAGAGAGGCTGAGATCCGGGGAGGGGGGCGTGCACACGTGCATGGAGGTCGGCATGCCGGCCCCGGGGCCGAGCAAGAGCAGGCCCAGTGCCTTCCCCACCCGTCCTGGGGCAGCGCACGTCCTGCCCGAGCACGTCGGCATGTGCGCGGGGAGCGCGGGGCCCGGTGTGGCGTGTGCCTGCGTGTGTGCACACACGTGTGTGGGGCTGTCAGCTCCATCTGCCGCTGAGTCACTTGTTTATTCCAGCTCTGCGCTGGGGCCGAAACTGCCGCCGTGTTGGCCGCCAAAGCCCGCCTGCCTTTTCCAGCCTCTCTGGCCGCCCGTCAGGGAGCTGGGGAGGGAGGAGCCCCCGCCCCACTCCTGGCTGAGGGTGAGTACGCGAGTGTGACGGCGCGTGCGCAGCAGCATGTGCCTGAGCGCATGTGAGGCAGGCTGTGCAGGGCTGAGTACACGGGGAGGCAGAGAGGAGGCGGCGAGCCCCTGCCACGGGAAGCTCTGGCCTCTCCTTGGGCCTCAGCTGCCCCGGGGGACATGCTGTCCCGGTCTGGCTGGCTCTCCTCCTAAGGAGGCCCCTGCCCTGGGTTCCAAGCATGCTCAGTGGGACTGAGCCAGAGGGCAAGTCCGGTCCAGCCCCCCTAATGCAGGCATCCTGGGGCACATCCAGACAGGCCCCCTGAGGCCTGGGGCTGTCCCCCGCGGCATGCGCGCGCACGCACACACACACACAGAGAAAGGGGTGTCTGCATGAACACAACATCACATAAAGACATCCACGTACACACAGGTACACGCGTGCATATGTAACCCCTGACCCCCGCCCCATTCACCTCTGTACCCTGTCTGACACTGAGCACGGCTCCTGGCCAATAACCAAACAACACACAGCACACCCGCTGGTGGAGGGACAGGGCGCGCTCCATGCTGTGGCACAGAGCCACGGGCGGACCCAGGCTTTCAAGCCACCGCACACATCTCAGGGCCTCACTTACCAGATCTAAATGGTCCTCAGTCTGGGAGCGGAAATAAAACCAAGGGGGCGGTTCAGTCTGCGGCCTCTGCCCTCCCCTCACACCCCGGCCCCAACACCCGCCCCATCTACCTCTTCACACATGAGCAGGACAGCTGTCCAGCCTGGGACAGAGCTCTTTGCTGTCCAGACCGACTCCAGAAAATGCCACATCCCAACATCCACCCGTTAGGAAACCTTCATCCTTCCGCTGTGGTGGCAAATCCCTCCCAACCTCCTCCCCGGCACAGAACCTTCTCTCCCACCTCCTGTCGCTTCCTCCTGCCCTTGTGGGTGGCACGTCCACGTTCCTCTCATAAGGCCCTCTGGGGAGAAAGAGCTCACGAGAAGTCCGGCTTCTATGGTCTCCCTCCAGCAGTCCCACCTATTGGCTAGCCTGCATCTCTCCTGCTGGAGGTTGGCTCTTCCCCAGCCCCAGCCCCTGCCCCTCGGTGCAGACACCCACTCACCAAGTGATGCATTAACCCCTTTCCTCCCTGGGAAGTGATGACCCTCAGGTCGGGCTTGCGGCTGGGGGCTCCAAGCTGGGCGCTGTGGGTGGGTGGGGGCGGAGACTTGGCAGGGATGCCCTTGTTGAGACTGTTGCCGTTGGCCACAGGGAGGAGACCAGGGGAAGCCCGGGCACTGACATAGCCATTTCCTGAGAGGAGGAGATGGGGGTCAAAGGTCAGACACGGACCCAGCCCCCAGCCCGTGTGCCAGGACTCCATACTCAGACTCTGATCTTCCCCCAAAACCACCCTGTCCTGGGAGAAAAGGGGAAGCCCCCTCACTCCGGAATTACTGGTTATTCCCCTGCCTCTAAGCGACGTGTGCCAGAGCGGGGGGTGGGGGGGCACTGGAGCTGGACGCCGCAGTGGCCTTGCCTCACCCCCTTCCCTCCTTCTGGTCTCACAGACAGGGCGTCCAGCACCTCCCGATCCCACAACCTGCCCCGACCACTCACAGGGAACTGGCTGCAGACAGGGAGGGCAGCCTGGGACTTGGGCCTCCATGAGGACCCCCGAGGCACCTCGACCACTCAGACTGCAGCTTTGGCCAGGAGACGGGGGCCCAAGACAGGATGCCCGCAGCTCTGGGGAAGATGAGCCATCCGCCGGTGGTGGTGCTGTCATTGGTCACAGGGGACTGATAACACAGCCACCACCAGGATGAGACTGGCGACGACCAGTGTTGTAACGACCTTGTGCATTTGTGCCACAATCCACACAGGGTACGATCTCACTTAACCCTCACGCTAACTGTGCGGCGAGGCAGACGGGACGTGGGTCAGCCCCGGTCACAAAACCGCAAACTCGAGGCCTGGTTGGCAGAGGCACAATGACTTGCCCAGGGCGATGCAGCTGCCTGGAAGCCATGCCAGGCCCCACCCGCGCTCCGCATGCTGGGCCTGAGCGCCTGGAAGGACCGTCACGGCCCAAAGTCTGCAGGTACTTCTCCAGCCCTCCGCAGAGAGAAAAGGGCGGCCACCATCCCTTCCACTTCCTGACCCCAGTGCACAATCACTGCCACGGAGGCATTAGGTGGTGCCTGGGGCTAAACTGGGGGTTCTGAAGCCCAGAGAAGTGGGGCCGACCACAGTCCCAAGTGTCACCTTGCTCTGTCCCCTGGGAGTACACTGTTCCCCTGGAAGTGTGGGGCTGCCCTCATCCCAATTCCCAGATCACTCCGGGAATGGCAGGAATGTCAGCGTGACGTCAATGGTGACATTTGAAGTCACAGTCACCGGCCGGACAACAGCACAGGGCAGGGGAGAGGCCGTCGGCAGCTGGGGGTCTGTGTGGGAGCGCGTCAGCAACACCGTGCGCACCCTCCAGATCCCACCCAGAGGCCCCCACTCGATGGAGAACACTTGCATCCTCTCCCCCAGCTGGAAATGTTGGTCCCTTCTTCCAGCTTGCCCAGGATTCCCTGAGCCCAGATCTCTGATGATCGCCCACACCCATCAGGGCTGCAGACAAGCCTCAGGCTCGACTCGGGTCCTGGGACCTTCCTCCTGCCTCATCGGGGTCCCTCTTGGTCCCTGGGCCCACGAGGCCGCTGAGAAGGCAGGCAGGCAGCCACACTCACCGACAGGGCTGGGGCAGGCTCCATTAGCACTGTTGAGGTCTCCCCCCAGCATGGCCCCTGGGGACAAACAGAACCACGGTGAGCTGGTGGGACAGCGCCTTCACGGCGGGTCCCCGGGCCGAACAGCGGGAGGAGCCCTGGTCCTTCCCTCAGGAGCCACACAAGGGAGCGGCAGAATGCCGCGCGGGGCGAAGGGAGACGGAATCCCCAAGTCCCCAGCACACCTCATCCCCACCTCACCTGCGCTGGCCGGCCGCTGGGGCAGGCCCGGAGACACGCTGTTCCTCTGCAGTGCTGGCTGCTGGGGGGACAGGAGCCGCGGGTCCGTGAGGGATGATGTCACCAGGGAAGGGGTGACCAGAGAGCCGCTGGGATTGCTGAACTGCAGTGAGCTCTGACTGGACACGGGCACCGTGACGGGCATGGCAAAGTTGGGGGCCGGCACAGCTGACTAGACAGAGGATGGCGAGGCGGGGTCAGGCCAGGCGACGCCCCCACCCCGGACCCACTGTGCCCGAGAGAGGGCAGGCACGGGTTCCTCTGGTCTCTGGGCTGTGTGTCTGAGGGCCCGCAGCTCGAACTCTCTGCCCCGGGCCCTCTCGGAGGAGGTTCGCTGGAGGGAATGCTTTGGGATCAAGCTCTGGCCCAGAGAACGAGAACAGGCTCTGCTCATGGCAGATGGGACCAGGGACCCCCGAGGCCCCCAGTGGAGGTGGGTTAGTCCTCAGCCAGGCAGGACACACGGGGAGCAGGTTAGAGGGCCTGAATACAGACCCACGTGCACCCACACAGCTAGGGAAGGCCTGTACCGAGGGTCTCGGGCCGGGGGTGGCTGCGTAGGCCCCCAGGGGCTCTGCCCTGAGAAGACCTAGACAAAGAACACGGTCCCTATTCTCCTGCCATCTAAAGCCCTCACGTCATCTACACACGTCTTGCTGGTGAGAGGGGCGCTCCAGGCCTCTCCCAGCCCGTGCTCCATCCGAAAGGAGCCCACAACCCAGGTCAGCGGTGCCTCAGTGGTCACCGCCAGCCCCGGCACGGCTCAGCGCGGGACGTGCGTCAGGGGCGGCCGGGGGCCGGCGCGAAGCCACACCATGCACCACGGGGAGACCGCTCCATGCGACTACTCACGGCCAGTCTATAACTCTGCATCATTTTATCAAACTCCTCGTCTATCTTTTTATACTTCTCCTCCGTCTGGGGGGTCAGGGCAAACACCTCGTCCACCTCGGGGCTCTCACACTCCCTGTGCTTCTTGTGCAGCGCCTGGGGGGGGCCGGGAGGGGCCGACAGAGACACGGTGAGTGAGCTCACCCCGTAGCGCCGGAAGAGCCCGTCCAGCTCCTCGCTGGCGCGCCGGTACTTGTCCTCCAGCAGGGGGCTCTGCTCCAGCGAGTCCTCCCCGTCGGGCTCCGGGCTGTCACAGCCGTTGAAGCCCTTCTTCCTCAGGGTCTGCAACCGCACCAGGGCGTCAGCCAGCCATTGGCAGGGGAGGAGCAGGGGCAGGGTCCCCACCGCCCCCCTACTTTCTCCCCACCTCCTTCCTCTGGGTCCCCAGCATTTCCCGGCCATCCCCCTTCCCTGCCCTGCCGCACCATGTGAACATGTGCTGGGCGGGGAGGCACCACCAAGGGGGGGGGGGTGCGCCGTGCGGCCTCAGGCCAAAGGCCCACCGCAGGGAATGCGCAACACACTTAGCAGAGACCCCTGCTTCCAAGGTGACAGGTGGGGAGGGGCCCTGGGGGGATGGGCTGGGGGCTGAGACCCTGTGGTAGCTCCGGGGTGGGGGAAGGCAGTCCAGGCTGTTATTGCCCAGCCTGGTCCCTGGGCTCTGCTCACAGGAAGAGGGGGAGAGAAGCAGAGATGGAGACAGAGGGAGAGGAGGGAGGGGGAGAAAGGCCCCGAGGAAACCAGCGCTTATAGAGCTCCTGCTGCTGTCCTTGCCCAGGGGCCCACACCACACTGGGGCACTCCTGGTAGGTCTGGAGTAGACCCCAAACTTCCCTCTTCCTGCTCAAAATACCTTCACAGATACTCGGTCTGTTTTTAGAATAAATAACAAATGTACGTTTTCCATCCCAGTCTAGATTAAATCTGTTTTCTCTATTGTAAGGCTAAGGTAACTTCCTCCAAATCTCGGAGCTCGAGTCCCTCTCCGGGAAGGCAAGCCTGTGGCTTCCCGGGCACCAGCCTCTCTGGCAGAAGTTCTGTTCCCTGAAAGCACGCACAGCCCCCGTGTGAGAAGCAGGAACCGGGCTGTCTTGTTCAAGTCCCACCACACCCTTCAAAGCTCACACTGGCCCCATTTCGTGGAGGTGGGCACCACGGCCCAAGGCCACGCGGCCAGTAAACACCACCACTGGATTCCAAAGCCCATGTCCTTCAACAGCCTGTAATGCTGGCTTTTTTTGAAACAGAAAACTGAGTCCCAGGAACCCATAAAGGGACAGAGGCAGAGCAAGAGAGATGGAAACAAAGAGGGAGACAGAGACAGAGAGTCAGATGCAGGAACAGACCAAAGATGGACAAGGAGAGCAAAAGACAGAGAGAGAACCGGAGGGAAGACAGAGCGATGTCCCGTCAGCCTGACAAGCATGAGCAAAGACGCAGCAGGCTGGGTGGGCACCGGACTGGGTGGGGAGCGGGCTGGGGGGGACACCAGGCTGGGCGGTGGGCAACGGGCCAGGGTGGGCAGTGGGCCGGGGTGGGCAGCGGGCTGCGGTGGGCAACGGGCTGGGATGGGCAACGGACTGGGTGGACACCGGGCTGGGCGGTGGGCAACGGGCCAGGGTGGGCAGTGGGCCGGGGTGGGCAGCGGGCCGGGGTGGGGAGCAGGTGGGGTGGACACCGGGCCGGGCGGGCATGCACGTGCTGCGTGGGCCCACCTCGATGATGTCGGCGTTGGTGCGGCTCTCATGCGGCTCGTTGTACTCCGTGTACTTGAGCAGCACCTTGTCCATGTCGGTGCTGGCATACTGGAACAGCTTGTTGGAGTGGTTGAAGATGATGAGCGCGATCTCACAGTCACAGAGCACGCTCAGCTCGTACGCCTTCTTCATCAGTCCGAACTTGCGCTTGGTGAATGTCACCTGCAGGCGGTGGAGAGGGGGTGGCCCGGTCTGGCTCAGTCAAAGCCTGTCCTGGAGCCCCTGGCCCAGGGGAGAGACAGGCCAGCACCTCTCTGCCAACGTAGGACCAAGATGCAGCCTAGAGCGGCCTCACTGAAGGGAGAGGATGGATGGACAGAATTCCACACCTCTGTGCCAGGGGCTGTGAAGGGGTCGGGAAGGAAAACGGAAGGGCTTCTGGATCCTCCCTTGGGGGAGAAAGAGGGGGAGAATTCATCTTGGGGAACAGGGCATGCCCAGGCATGGCCTGAGGCTTGTGTATGGTTCCTGGGCGGGAAGTGGGTGGGGGTTGGGGGTGGGTGACACACAGGTGCACCTGCTTACAGCAGCAGATGAGCCTTAGAGTTCTGGGGTACAGGGCTCCAAGAGCTGCAGGGAGGTGAGAGTTCCTCTCCTCCCAACTCAGTCCTTCCCCTTCCATAATAGCCTTTAGAGGCCCCCTCCTCCAGGTAGCCCTCTTGGACTGGCAGGAAGGAGTGGAGGCAGAGGCCAGCTCCCTGCCCTCACCCACTCTACATGGCTCCAAGACCTCCTCACCTGTCGGTTCCGCTCATCAGTGATTCGCTGGATCTGAATCTTTTTCCTCCCCATCTTCTCTGGGGATCCTCAGTGCTAGGGAGGGGAGGGGATTGCTGGGTAGCAGGTCTCGGCACGCCTCACACTGTGCTCATGAACGGCCTGGAACCAGGAATCAGTTCATGGTCTGCAGGACACCTTCTGCACAGCGTCCTGGGAAAGGGGGGTCATGAGAGGACTGTCAGCCCCGGTGACCACCAGCACACAGGCCAGGCTCACAGCACCCCTGGGGCAGGCTGACGGTGTCCACCCCATCCTCAAGATGAGGAGATGGGGGTGCCCTGAGGCAATGGCGTGCCACGGCCAGGCACAAGTGGGCACTGACACCCAGGGCCCAGGCCCTGGTCCAGGCTCTTTCCGCACCAACTCTGGGCTCTCGGGTTCTAGATCACTCGGAGCTGGCTTCCAAGGGTCCAGGTCCTAGAGAACGCCCCAGGCCCTTTCCTCTCCCCAGAATCTGCCTGGAGTAGAGACATCTGGGTCTGCCAGCCGCCCCTCTGGCCTAGAATGGTGCTTCCGGTCCTGGCGCCTGGTGCGGAGAGCACCCACCGAGGCCACGCACGGCTTCCATGGGGTACCTGGTGCCAGGAGGGGCGTGCTCTGGCGGCCAGGGCTCAGGAACACAGGGAAGGCTAGAGCCTGGGGGCCCAGAGTGGGGCTGGGGCTGCAGAGCCCCTCTCCCCCTCCCCCCAGGGCTGCTCCACCCCCATGTCACCCGGTGGGCCTCCGCCTCAAAGTTTTGTTTGAAGAAACGGTTCTGCTGCTTAAAATAAACAAACACACCAGCCTTGCAGAGCAGAGTCTGCAAACTTTTTCGGTAAAGGGGTCGATGACTATTTCGGGCCTTGCAGGCCATTCGCTCTGGACAACTCCTTGACGGCTACTGCCGACAGCACGTAAACACGGAAGGGTGGTAGAGCTCCACTACAACCAGATCTGTAACGACCAGCCCCGAGGTCATGGTCTGCCCACTCCCGCTTGGGGCAGGGGTGGGGGGTGGGGGACGACGACGCGCCGCGTCCAGGACCCGAGCTCAGGCTGGGCAGCCCTTCCCAGCCTGGTTCACCTTGAAGCCCGGAGCACGTACAGAGCCATTGGCGTGCACCGAGGAGGTTTCTGGCAGCCGGGCGGAGGCCACCCCACCTCATGCACCTGTAAATTGGCCAGGCTCCGCAGCCAGGACGGGAGTCAGAGCCCCCGCACCACACGAGTCCAGGATGGGAGGGCGCGTGGGGTCAGAAGCCCAGCCTGACCCAGGAAATGCCCGCGCTCAGGTGTGGGCAGTGCCCAAACAGGCTGGGTGAGCCCTCAGGGACTGGAAGGGCCCGGGGTGGGATGGAGGCACACGGTGACCCCAGGGCCCCCCGGGCTCTGTGAATCCAGGAGAATCAGAGGTGGAGCCTTCGGGGAGAGGGGGGAGGTGGGCAGCGAGCAGGAGGCCAGGCTTTCTAAAGCCACTCGGGGTCCGAGGAAGAGCCTTGTTCACGGAATCCAGCCCATCGCTTGAGACAACCCCATCCACAGAGGTCCAGGCAGAGACCCTACTGCAAAGTACAGGGAGGTGGGCTCTCACTGCCCCCCACTGGGTAGAAGGGCCAGGCACATCTATCATTCGAAACCCCCTCCCCAGCCCCCACTTCCAGGGGCTGCTCAGTTTTCCTGGAGCCTTTCCAGCCCTGCTCAACCATGGCCCCCAAGGTACCACAGTAGATGCCGAAGTTCAACCTTGGCCTCTCGGCCACAGGGGGCAGGGGAGAGGGGAGGCAGGGAATCTGTGGACTTGGGAGGAGCCAGAAATACCCCTTCCCACCCTGCCCCGTCACCAGGGCTGTCCCTCAGGCTCTCCCTAGCCCAGCTGGAAAGAGAGTGTCTGCTCTGTCCTGAGGTCTTCAGGAAACAAGGCCGCTCCCTCACAACTAGAGGGATCCTCCCCCCCTACCCCCCCAGAGAGGGGTCCCAGAACCTCTTCCTCTGTTCCTTGTCCTCAAGGTGCTCCACGGGCCCTGGGCCTCCTACTGTCCCCCCTCACACACCCCCGGCACAATACCAACACAGCCCAGGCAGCCCCGAGTGGTCCAGCAGCCACCCCATTCCTGCCTAAACCCCTATCTCTGCCAAAGCCCCACTTGGAAGGCCCCAGCCCAAGGACTTCAGCCCCCCGCTTCCCAGTGCAACCCCAAAGCTGTGGTTTTCAGAGCCACGGTGGTCTGGGCTCCCAGGGAGGGTGGAGAGGGCACGCAGAGGACAAGGGGGCTCCGAAGACAGCTTAGTCACAGAGCCTCTCTGGCCTGGCCTTGTGTGAAGGCTTTCACTGCCGTACTCCCATGCTAAAGCATCCACCTTCCCTCCATCACCCAGTTTCCTAGCTCCCTCTCACCACCTTTTGTGCAGAAGCAAATTCTCGCTGAGACGTGGCTTCTATCAGGTTCAGGCCACTCCTGCCTCCTCCTTCAAGTGGGGAGAGAACCCTCTCTGTGCCCTCGTGGCCCCTGCAAAGTCATTCCTGCAGTCCGACCTTGTTCCCTCGGTTCAGGGCACCCTGTCCTTTCCCTTCTAGCACTTACCACCACCGTACACTAGTACAACTCCGCGCTTCTACTCAATGCCTGGCTCCCCAGGAGCTGGAGCTTCACGAGAGCAGGATCCACATCTGCCCTTTGCACCACTCCACCCCCTGTGAGGAGGAGCTCGGGAAATGTCTGCTCCAAGAAGGGGCTTGCGGTCTAACTCGGGTCAGTCCCACTGCAGGACCCACATCCTGTCCCTCTGCCCCTGAACTTGGACGTTTGGACACCACCGACCAAACCACTCCAAGCAGGCCTGCCTCTGCAGGCCAGGCCTCAACCCGCCCCATCCTTGGGCTGTCTGGTGCAGAGGGTGAGACTCTAAAGTCTTCTATGGAGCAGCCCAGAGCACATGGAGATGGAGAGGATGGGGTTGCTTAGGCAACTGTCGCCTGGCAACCGGCTCCCTGGCTGATCTCCTACACCCCCCCACCCCCGCTTCATGCTGGGGGAGCTGGGATGCGAGAGGGATCAGGACTGAGGAGACAGGGAAGCCACAGAGACACCCCCCTCCCCGCCCCCAGCACCCTCTGACCAGAGGGGAGTCAGGGATAAACAGACCTGCCCGTCCATCCCAGTCTCTTGCCAGGGCAGCCCCCAAGTGCTTTCCTAACTCCACGTTTCCCAGGCCCCCTGCCCACCACTGCTCCCTACCTCTGTACCAACACTACCAGAGGACGAGATGCCCTGCCTTGGGCAGTCCCTCCTCCTATCTAACCAGGAGCCCTCCTACAGAGCAGGCCGAGCCTGCAATAATCTCTCTCGCCTTCTAACCATGCTACGCACTCTACATTGCTGCAGCGTCGGAGAGCCCCAGGGCGGCAACAGGAACTCACCACTGACTTTGGAAAAGGGCGGCTGGGGCCTGGCTGGGCACCCTGTCCAAGCTGTGGAGGCCCATCCCGTCCCACCTCCCTCCTACTCAATTAGGAAGATCCTAATGGACACCTGGACCTCCTCAATTAGCCCCCTGCCTAATGACCTAACCAACTGCCCAGAGCCAGAGGCCTGGGCATCTGTTCTCCAGACGTGCACCTTTTCCCCCTGGCCTGGCCTGCCCCCATCCCTCTTCTCCTTCCCGGTCCTCTCCTCCTCTAGGAAGCCCTCCCAGACCTGACTTTTGGCTGTCTCTCCAGGGCTGGAGGGGGATTAGCAAGATGCCATGGACACAGGGGGTTGGCTAGGATGGCTTTCCGGCTCCGATGGCCCCGCGGCCCGCCTGACCTCAGCCACAGCTATGACTCCTTGGGCTGGTGGCAGCTGTGTCACCAAGCGTAGCCCCTGGAAGGCTCCGCAGCTTCTGCTTCTCCCACTCAAGGCAGTGCTGGCCGGACAGAGCTGGGCAGGGTGGGCCTCCTGGGGGCAGGGAGTGGGGACAGAGAGAGCAGAGGGGCTGGGGGGAGGGCAGCTGGGCTGAGCCCTGGGGAGGCAGGCCAGACCCACCTTCTTTAGGGAAGAGTGGTGGCAGAGAAGCCTCAGCAAATGGAGGACAGAGAGGACACAGGCTGGAGAGGCTCGTCTGACAGCACCCTTGACAAGGAGGAGGGGCTGAGGGGACCAGGCATGGTGGGAAATCCAGAGCGACCGACCCGTGGACAGCCATTTGTCCAAGCTGGGATCCAGACCCAATAGGAACCTGTGGGTTGTATTTACGTGCAAATGAGGTGCAAACATTATGCAAAATGTACCCTAAAGGGGGTCTCAGGCTGGAGGGGGCATGGGAGAAAAAAACAGGCCCCTGCCTCCCCCAATTTAACACCTCTTGGTACCTGAGCAATATTCAAACCATTCTCGGGTTTCAGAATGATGCTATCTCAGTTCCTGTGAGGGCGGCCTGGGGCCAGTGGGGAGAGTGCGGGCCGGCGGTCAGGGTGGCCTCCTGGAGCTGCAGCTGTGGCGGGCTGCCCTTCCTGGGGAGCCCAGAGTGTCTCCTAGCTCCTCTCCTACTCCCCCGTGGCCCCCACACCCTCCCACCCACACCTGCCAGCCGGCGCCCAGCGGCTCCCGGTGCCCAGGAACTGGAGGGCAGCTGCTTCCAGAGCTGCCGTACCGATGCAGGTCAAAACGGAGAAGGGGCCCAGGGAGGCTGAGTGAGCAGCCTCCTGCCGCAGAGCACTGGGCTTCCACCCCGCTCTCTGCACCGCGAGAGAGGCAGCCCTCATTAGGCAGACCCTCCGTCCCTTCCTCTCAGGCTGCTCCAGGCCGCAGGCTGGGGACTGGAGGGGAAGGCAGGAGGCGCCGGAGACAGCTGTCAGCCCTCCTCCGCCCCTTCCCCGTGGCTGGGCTGCAGGGCATGAAATAGGCAGCAGGCGCTGGGGGAGGGGGTGACAAGCCAATCCACCTGTCACCCCCACAGTCAGGCGGCCTCAAGCAGCCTGCTCACTAACGAGGGAGGAGGCGTGGGTGAGGCAGACACAGAGGAGGCTGGTAGAGGCGGACAGACACACAGACCCGCGAGTAAGAGAGGCCAAGAGGCCAAGAGGGAGGCCGAGTGTGGGGCGCAGGCAGAGACAGACGAGGAGAGGGCTAGAGCAGAGAGGGCGAGGCCCGGAGCCCAGACTCAGAGGCAGCCCGACTGTGCCCCAGCGCTGGGCTGGGCACGCGGCACGACCGGTGGGACGCCAGGCCTGCCCTCCGAATACCTCCAGTCCAGCCAAGAGACAGAGCGGGGGCAAGGCAGGTCCCACCGAGGGCGAGGGCTTGCGGGCTCCTGAGGGCAGGCAGGCCCCCACAGTGGGCAGAGGGGAAGCCCAGGAGCCCTCTCGGTCCCCCCACCCTAGCCCGGGGCTCACAGCCTTCAGCCTCTCCCCTCGAAGCAGAGACACACTGAGGTGCACTCTGGAAGATGGTGTGGGAAGGCGAACCCCAACACCAACACGCAGGGCCCAGGCAGAGGGTGCTGGGGTTCACAGCCCCCGGGGTACACACAGGGGGCCTTCCTCCGCAATCTCTGAAGTCCTCAGAAGCGGGAGCAGTGTCCCTCGCGCCCACCCGCCCAGCCCAGTTCTCACGCCCCCAGCCTGCTCCCCCCACTGCTCCCCTGCTCCTCTCTGCTGTCCCTCTTCCGTTCCACGCCCCTCCCCCAGCCCAGGGCAGCCGCTTCATCCGACCCAGAGTTCCAGTGTCTGCTGTCACGGGCACAGGCAATCCCCACCCCCATCCTCCTCCCCTCAAAGTTCTGTCTGGCAGGCTCCCTTCCCAAACCCCTGGTTCCCACCATCTTCCCCTCCCTCGGGAACTCCCCTCCCCCCAGCCCAGCAGCCTCAGGGCTGGGCAGGGGCTATTTTTAGCCTGGGCACCGAGCTAATTTTAACTCACCGACAGGGACCTGGGGGCAGGCTGGCGGGCTGGGGGGAGGGGGAGGACCAGTCCGGGAAAGCTGGACCCAGGGCAGGGGTGGTCTCAGGTCCCAGGTGCCCCAAGAAGGCGAGTGGAGACAGGCACTGCAGCCTTGGCTGAAGGGACAGGAACAGACTTGCCAGAGGAGCACCCCGCGTGGCCAGCTTGCGGGACACCTCTCCCGAGCCCCACCCCACGCTTCCCGCCGGGACAAATCCCCTGGGATGGGGTCATCCTGTTCGCTGCCCGGGAGATGCCTCTCCAGTGAGGGTCTGTCTCCTGAGCCTCCTCCACTGCCTCCCCGCCCCAGCTTGTCCTTCCTGTAGTCTAGCTCCCATCCCTCCTGCAGTGGCCAGAGCGTGGCCAGTGCCGGACAGAGGCGGCAGCCAGCCCACCCCCAGGCTCCAGCACCGCCTACCGCAGCTCTGGCCTTCCCCTGGCGGCCTCTGGGCCGGCTCCTAGGAACCACCCCTCACCCCAAATCCTCACAAGTTTCTGGAGCCACCGGGCCTGATCTCAGAAAGAATCTGGGGTAATGGGAGATTGAATTCTAGCAGAAAAGGGGTGGGTGTGGTTGAGCAACCAACAGCCCAGGGAAGCATGGGGTCTTTGGGCAGGGCTTCTGGATGCCTGGGTTCTGGTGCTTGCTCTGGTCCTAAATGACTGTGTGACCGTGAATAAGTCTCTGCCCCGCCAGGTGTTACCCCACTGGTCAGTACGATGGGTGGGTGGAGGGGAGCAGGTACCCGAGTGCCCTTCTAGCCAGGACATTTGGTTCCTGTGCTCCTTAGAGAGGCCCGAAAGGAAGGAAGGGAGGTCAGGAGCGGGTTCCTCCATGGGGAGGTAACAGAAGACATGGCCTGGGTCGGTCCACTGTCCTCTAGCCTAGGGGGAAGGGCAGTGTGAGGACCAAAAGGCAGGAGGGATGGATGGGGCTGATAAAGGCGGAAGGTGCTTTCTGAACAGTAACCCTCGTAACAGATGGCAGAGGGTTGAGAGAGGCTCATGGTCAGCCAGGGCGGGTACCAGGTGGGGCACACCAGGGCTCTGACTGCAGAGATCCAGCCACCCCAACCCCAAACACACCTGGAATGCCTATGAGACCCAGGGCTTGGGTAGTGACTGCCCCCCAAGGTCACGGTCATGGTCATTAGTGGGGCTGGTTCTGCAACCGAAGCCTGAGCCTTGCTTCATGCTCTACCCGGGAGACTGATCCGTAATGACTCACTACCACCGTTTGCATGGGGATTTGCATAGTGTCTCTGACCTTATTCCATCAGGCTCAACTTCCCATTCCAGGAACTGGGCCACCCCCACCCAGCACACCTAGGCACTTAGGATGGAGTTCCCGGCACCTTGTCTAGAAAGCATCCCTGAACCAACAAAGAATCCCTGTGGTACTGTCTAAACTCAGTCCCACAGGGTCCTCCCCTCTTGTCCCTCCTCTGAGTGGGGGGAGGGGGGGTGTGCTCCTGAGACGGACGCGAGCATCGGAGAGATTCATGGTGGCTGCCTGGGGGCTCCTAGTAGACAGAGCCCGCGCCTCAGCGCCCGGACCGGGGCGGCAGGAGGACGGGAGGAGACGGCCTCGTGCAGCACACAAGACACGTGCTAGGCTCAGAGAGGACTGGCCAGGGCTGCACTTTTGGCCTCAAAGTCGTCTCTGGGGCTCAAATCCGCTTTGTTAGAAGTCACCCAACCAAGCAGGGGCAGCTGGTAAGGTCTCGGGGAGCACGGAGGCCCCGGCACAACGCTCCAACCAACGGGGACTGGAAGGCAACCCGTCCCTGGGCCCCTCCTCGAGGAGGTCGTCTGCGTGTCCAGTCAGAGCAGCACCCCTGGCAGCACTGCCCTGGCCTGGTGGTCTGCTCTCCCACCGCAGCCAGTCCTTCCACTCGGGTCATCTAGATGAGAGTGGTGGCCGGGGGGCCCCTGGCCATCCGAAGCGGTTGGGACGGTTAGTGTGTCACCTTCTACCTCCCCACCCAACTTCCCTCTGGGGTCTCAGGAGACAGAAGTGAAAGTGGCAGCTGGGGCCTTGGGGGCGGGTCAGCTTGAGAGCCGTTGGGTGAGCATGATGCCACCAGTGCCGTGTCTGGGCTGCCCGCCATGACAAGCGGGTGGGCTGATGGTTAGAGCAGGGGAGGGACTTCCCGTGGAAATGAGGGCACGGGGTAACTATGGAGTGCAGGCCCCCGAGCAAAGGAAGAGCAGGCTGAGAAGGAAAAAGGGGACAACAGGGCAGGAGACGGGTCTCTGAAGGACGCTCTTCCAGGGCGGCGGTGGGACCCTTCCTTCCCGTGCACAGAGCAGAGGCAGGTGGCGGGGTCTGGGCCCTGGCTGCCAGAACAGAAAGGCGAGGAGAGAGGACACAAGGCCCGAGGCCCGGGCCCTCACCCGGGGCAGCACCCAGCCTGACGACAAGGCAGCTGGAGGGTCAGGCTGTGAGTGTCCACCTACAGTCACAGATGGGGCCCAAAAGAGGCCAATCCAATCAGAGGAAGCAAATCCTCCTAGAGACATCAAGACCTCAGGGAGCCACCGAGGATTTAAAGGGGCCGCTCAGGGCGGTGGCTGGGTCTCCTCCTGACTCGAAGGACAGTCCTCTAAGCCCCTGGCAGGGGAGGGCGGGCAGGGCGGCTGCGTGGGCCTGCCGAGGCGGCCAGCCAGGCAACTCTTACAGGATTAGCTCGCTGCTTTCAGGAAAGGTGCCAGGTGAGGCTAAGATGCCCGGCCAGATGGATGGGGCCCAGGCGGGTGGGGGGGTACCTCTCCACAGCTACACAAACCCTTGCCCCCAGATTCAATCCACAGCCCTCCCTTTCGTGAGTGGACTGTGCGAAGACCCCTGGCTATCAACCAGCTTTCTCTGCCTGTGACCTGTCACCATCCTGGCTCTGAGTGGGGAAGTCCTGCCCATTGTCTACTCTCAATCCTTCTGCCACATTTTACAAGCAACCCCCCCCCCGCCCGCCCCGCCGTGAGCCCCAGGGAGCAGGTGAGGGGACCAAGGGGTTCCTACTCTGCCCTGCTGGCCAGCCCCTCACCCCTCACCCCCTGGGCTGACAGGTGGGAGAAACAAGAGGGAGCAGCTGGGCCAGGACACCTGTCCCCACCCGGTCAGTCTGGGCCCCATGGGCCTGCCCTGGGGGGTGCAGAGGGGAGTGGGCAGAGAGGCAAGCAGCTGTGGGGGCCGAAGGAAAGGACCTCAAAGGTCAAGGAGAGATGTGACTGGAAGGCCTAAAGCCCCCCTTTCAGGCTCAGTGCTTCCTCCAGGGCCACCCCCAACCACTGTCCCTCACCAGTCACAGAACACACTCATGCTTTAAGGGCAAAAACTCGAGGTCCGAGGTCATCTGCGCCATCTCCTTGCCTCCATGTTACTTGATCCAACTAGAGCCTGGAGCAGGAAGACTCCAGAACCGAGACAGACCACTCCCCTCCCCACCCACCCTCACCCAGTGTTTTCTGAATGTTTTCTCTCAAGGTTTGGGGATGAGCTCCTTACTCCTTGTTCTCCCAACCCTCAACCCCAAGCATTTGCTGGCGGGGGGTGGGGCGGGGAAATCATGAGGAATAAGGAAGCAAGCAGCCAGGGCACCTGCTAAGACTCAGGGGGAGGGGGAGGGGGAGGGAAGGCTCTGAGGCAGGGGGACAGCTGGCTGGGGAGTGTCCCCGGGCCCAGGCCCGAGTCAGACTGAGCCCCTGGCCTGGAGGCCCCCCGCAGGGCCGGCTCAGGCAGCTCCCACACACCAGGTCCTCGCTGGGACACTGCCTGCCCCCACCCCACCTTCTGGGCGGCTGCCTGAGCCAGCAAGTCCGGGGCCAGGCTGGAGCTGGGGTCTAGAAGAAAGGAGGCTCTCACTTCCCAAGCACCTGCTCTCGAGGGCCCCACATTTCCCCCACTGACCCTCCTTCCTTTCCCAGGGGAGGCGGCTCTTTCTGTCGCCTGAAATGAGGAGCAGAGGTGGGCTCACTGCAGGACGGGGCTTCCCTCCCTCCCCCTGGGAGTTTGCGCAATTCCTTCCAGGACAGTCCCAAACTTCGGGGTGTGGGCAGGCTCCTGTCAGCCTCTCGCCTTCAGACCAGCCTGAGCTCACGCTAGCCGCGCATTACAGCCAGCTCGAGAAGGGACTGGCAGGCGTCACTTGGTCCCTTTTCTGGGGGCCTTCTCCCATGGCAGTCCATCAGGGTACGATACCTTCTCAGGAAACCAAAGCAACATCTCCCTCAGCTGCCCTCAGCCAGGGACTCCTACAGGTTCGCACTTCCCTTAACGCCCCGTCCTCGCCCCCCCGCGCCCCCCTCCCAGGTCTCTCTGGGTCTCCTTCTCCCCTGGACCCTTCCCTTAACGGCAGACAAAGCCCCTAACACTTCCTAACCAGGGAAGACGGACCATGAGGTCTTCCCGCTCCAGCTGGATCACGTGACGTGGAGGCAAGGGATGGCGTGGATGACCCCCTGGGCAAATCACGTAAGTCTCTGACTCAGTTCCCCAGTTATAAAAAACAGTTATGCCAGGAAACCAACGAGTCTTCATACGTTCCCGTGCCCAGCACAGAGCCTGGCACACAGGGCGCAATGAACAGAAGCTTCCTTCCTCCAGTCCCCAGGGACCTCAAGAGCTTAGTGTCAGGCCTCCAAAGTAAGAGCGAATGGGGTACTGCCCACGGCGAAGGTCCCCTGACCAGAGGGCAAAAACATCTCCTTTTCTATATGCTTCCCTGGTCTGCCCAGCTCCCCGGGGAGTGGCCAGAGCACCCAGCCAGAGGCACCAAGCCAAGGTCAGTGACCAGGCCTAGAGCCCAGAGCCTCCTGGGAGGGTGAGCTTAAATGAGTAAATATGGTCCCGCCTGGGTGTGGCCAGCAGCAGGCTGAGCTCTGGAGAAGCCCCTCCCCTCCCAGCCTACAGCAGAAGGGAGAGAGCTCGCCCAGCAGGCACAGCCGCCTCCCCACTCCTGCGAAGGCTCACGGGGTCCTGTGCACAGTCAGTGAGCACATCCTCTGGTCTCCATGCCAGCCAGGACAGCCAGAAGCATGGCTAGGCTCCCAGGAAGGGGAGGTTGCGGCCA